CCCCCCTTGTGGGCCCAGAAACAGTTTGTAAGAACATTGGTCATCCACTATATAAAATATCTTATCAACGAGAGAGCAGTACTGATTTTTAGTAGCCTAGGGCACTTTTGATAAAGTTCGCGGTACATCAACTAAAGAAAAACGAATTCTCACATGTCACATCGGTAAGATCAACAAAATTGATCACCGTGATTTCCACAAGAAATCAATAACCGATGATTATCGAGATTTTAGGATTTCTGTTCACGGTTGACGAAATTAGGATTTAGTCATGGTTACGCACCTGCATGGGATTGAAAAAGCTCTAAGTCAAGTCAAATGGACAGTTCATCACCCTCTTGTTGCTGAATTCTTGATGAAAAAAGGACAAAGATTGAGGAGCACTCCGTATTTGTGAACATGTTTTCTTCTTGAAGGTAACTTTTAAAATTAACGCTGTTCGTTATAATCGGTTTCCATGAAACTGCCTGATATTATCATTCACAAGGAGACCCAGACAATTTCTAATCGACATCTTTCACCGGCGCGTTGTTCAAACACTTGCAAACGGGAAAAACTAATTTGCTTGACCCAATGAATACAGTTACGAAAATTGAAAACAATAAAGCGAAAGGGGACTGACATAAGTGATGAAAAAACATACCGCTGTTGGGAGAAGACATGGCTGGAACAACTCCGCTGTCATTCAGGGAACGACCGCTACCCATAGCGGTGGGTGAAGAAGAAAATCCTTGTGGATAGCTCACATTGTACGGCATCGGAGGTTCGGTTGCTTGAGAGAACATACTGAACGCACTCACGGGACGACCAGCACAACCTGTAGTACCACCACCACCGCCACAAGGAGCTGTGGTTGGTGACGAGGTAACTGAACCCACATTGGGATACTCACTATGCCGTGGGACCAATACAGGTGGCAGGACTAAACAAATAGAAAAGTGAAGACGACCACAGATCAGTGAAATGAAGTGCACGTTTAGGGGTGGTGGTGGTGGTCAAGGACGACGTTGAATAACATAATATGGATAAATATACCGGAAATATTTGTTCTATTCATCCCATAGTTTCTATTTTGTTTGTGAAGATTAATCAGTACTGTGAAGTTCCTAGTCAGACTAAAATCAGCAATCGAATAAGTTCCGTCTGATTTACATAGAAATGTTCACATTCTCACCTTTTAACAACCAAGCACGTTGAGTAGGGTAAAAAGTTTCGAATGGCAAGTTGCTTATCGATCATAAGGTGGTGAGATGATCAAAAATCCTGATGGTGTTGAAGATAGAACAATGGACCATGAAGCCCCGGGGAAGTCATTAAAAATGAATCAAATTGCTTGATCACCGCTAGCCAGAGTTAAGTTCGATTACGGAGACGCATTAATTATCAATGATCGTAGAGTAGTTTGTAATTCTCATAGACGGGAAAGACCAATATCATAATTATTCTTACACAAAACCAAGAATATATCCTCCGTATGCAAGGTTACTCAAAACAGATAACCAAACTAGAGCGCAAAAAGAAACTATGCCCACAAACAAGTAAACCTAAGCACACAAACGGTGACAACAACAAAACCACTGTGTATAATTTCATTAGACGGTTTTCCACACATAATTTCTGTTGCCTCCGTGTATTTTTTCTAATCTGGAGGGGGGGAGTACCGACAAACAGGATGCGGTATGGTAGACGACCACCATGAGCAGCAGCTGTTCTAACCCACATGTATATACGCATCTTTATGAGCCATAGGGATGGATCACCGACAATAAATGCCTTATGTGGTTTGCAACTTTCAGTCCCTAGACTTGGGTTACAGGCTTCCGGAACTGAACAGAAGGTTCTTATGAATATGCAATCCATCCAGTCTATTTTTCGTTACATAGTTTCCCCATTGTGTTGTACGGTAGCCCTTTTATTAGTCACCTCCCTCTTGAAAATTGTGTCATTGCATGTTCAGTATAAGGAAGTATATAAATATGAGGACAGAATGAGAAAGAAATACAACAAAATTGGTACGATCGTCATCTAAACATTTAGAGAGTAAATTGGGCAGTTATAACTAGGGTATCACAGTAAGTGAATCGAACCTTAAAACCTGCATTGTGTACTTAGATAAATAAGATAGCATGTGATTCCACAGCGATTTGGTATAATAATAATAATACCATTGCCACAATGACGTATTCCTAAGTTGTCGAAAACAATCACCTGTACTTCTACAATACCTTGATAAAAAAGGGTGACATCGGAATTGTACGTGCGACGAAAGGAGGTGATGCAGACGGACACGGTCTCATCAATCATGATTTAATTGAGGTGCATCAGCAAGTATGGTACACCTGTCTTGGAGTGAAAACCATCACCTTTACCACTACGGCAGTGACAGATGGTTCGCGCACGATGCACATCAGGCACGCTGCCAGTTGTTTCACGGAAGGTGGTGGTATTTGTAGTGTGAAGGGAATCAGGGTCGTCTGTCTATCCAGATTCGGGGAATAATCCTTAAAAGCAAAGAATGGTCGCCGCACTTTGTACACCGCGAATGCTCTGTCGGAACTGAATGTGGATGAGTGTGATTGTGCGCGGAACCAACTTGTGATTTACTATTCACTCCACAATCAAAATCACCCCCCGGTTCGGCCACCCATCCATGAGACTCTGGAGTGAATGCGAAACGCCGATAGTGGATTGTGATAAGGTGACTGACTCAAATCGACAATGCATCATCGTACACAGCATGTATATATATATATATATATATATATATATATATATATACACGCACGCACGCAAAAAATCGAAATAGAACTGAGTGATGAATGGGCGAAATAGCATTAACGTTTATACCGAAACTATCATTAGTAATTGGCTGATTGGTTAAAACTGGCTAGATGGCATTCTCTATTAAGGGTCGATATATATATGGGATCTGCCTAGATGAATGAGAGCAACGATTGTGGAAACAATGTGACTGGTAGAGGGAGACTAGAGCCTCAAGATTGCTACCAGACAGGAATCTGTATAACAGCAATGGTTTGTGAATCGATATATATATTGGGAACAAGCACGGTGTCGGCACGACAATAGTGGTACTCAAAAGGAAGATTTCGGTGAAAATGAGAAAAACGTGCACAAGCCAATTAAAAAGAACAAGACGAAAGGTGAAGTTTTTATATAACTTTTGCCTTGTTATGGGACAAGACAAACCGTGCAGCATTCGCACTTCTGAACTCTATTCCGAATCACATCTCTCAGTGCATCTAACTGAAGAAAAAAAACATTTTTACCGACAAATGTGACTATTTTCTTTTCTTTTATCTTATTATTCCACCTATTTTTATCAAATCGGAATTGCAAAATTTTCGCACGGGAAAATACTCAGTCAACACCACCGATCATGTCTCCAATTAGTACCTTCCCCCAGAACTCTGCACTTCCGAGTCAATTTCTAAGGTCACTGTTGGCCGACCCGGAAACTCTATGTAAACAGACGGGATGTCCCTAACCATCACTTTTCGGGTTGAGCCAAATATACCACTTAGTTGGGCTCCGGGATCGTACGATTTTTTAACTACACCTTAGTGTGATGAACAGCTGCTGGGTGAAACCCCATAGTCACGAGGATCTGCTGTTCAATCATAGAAACCGGTAACATAAGCTCCGAAACTCGGAGTGGCGAACCACATAAGGCCCCGCTACGTTAGGCGTGGTATTGAACTGGACAGCTGCCTACTATACTCGTGGGGCGTTCTTTCGGTTTTCTTGGGAATTGCTCTCCGTACCGCAGTTTGGGCAATTCGTGCTGTTCTCATCTGACAATATCCAGGGGGCGTGAAATCTAGTGTACTACACACGGACTCCAGTGGATTAGGATTTACACACACCCACTGCCTTGCAGATCACACTGGGGCTAGCCAAAGGCACTGGTTGTGTATCCCTCAAGGAAAAAGTTTTACTATGTCCTGAGGAGCAATCCATACATGAGCAAATTCGGGACTAGCCTCTTTGTTGTAACGATTGTTGTACCATGATTTGTTGAGCAAATTCGGGACTCGGACAAATGTGAAATTAATCTACAGTTCATCTGAAAGCGGATCACAGGAATTCACGCAGTCAATCAGCTGACTGAAAGCGTCCTGCTCACGATTGATTGACGGACAGGTCGAGGTCAGTGAAGTGAATTGGGGTTTGATTACAATTGTGCATGCACGCACGCCCCAACTCATTTCAGTCGTATCACCGACCTCTCTGGTCATCAGGGGATATATGTATGTGAATCCGGTTTGAAAATAATCCTGACTGCGTCGCCGCTAGATCATCGCAAACAAAGTTTAGTCACGCAAAAATGGCTTGAAATAGAATGATTTTAGCGGCTGTTAGTCAAGCATTTCCGACAGCGACAAGGCACGATATTCAAGGAGCTGTTCGTATGAGGTCCCTGTAGTGACTAATACCAGTATCAACCATCTATTTAACGTTGTCATCAAATGAATCTGAATCAATAATCCGGTGTCCGAGGTTACCGGTCCACACAATTACTTGGGGGTTGAAGATAGAGCGTGTCACCAAAATTCTGTGGATGTTACTGTGCTCGTATTTAATCTATATGGATTCTTTTAATTAACAAGAAGAAACCTTTGGATGAATAAAATATCATTTGAATGTCGGGCTCCATGAGTAAATGATCATAAAAGTAAAAACGTTAATTTATGTCGGCACATGAATCAGGGCCCGTATTCTTAATTTTTTATCACACACCTAAGTGTGATGAACAGCAGACGGGGTAAACCCCATAGTCACGAAGACCTGCTGTTTATTGGTGGAAACCGAAAACCTAAGCCCCGGGAATTGGAGTGGCGAACCAGATAAGGCCCCGACATGCTAGGCGTATTCTTAATTAGACGGAAAAGAGTGCGACTATCACCAATACCCACAGCTTTCTCTATCTGTTCACACTTTCCTATCCACTACTTCTCGCGGTCATGCCTCAGACTCTTGATGAGCTGACGNTTAAGGGATTTGCGCGCTGTCATATGTGGCATCCGGAGGAAGGGTTCTGCGGGCGTCCAGCAAGGTAGCCGAGGTCGACGAGATCCATCGTTTGTTTTGAGCCTGCGTCACGGTCCGACGTAGTTTTTATCGATATTTGCATAGCCTCCTTGATTTGTTTCCAGTGTTCATTGAGTCCTTCGGTTGGTGGTTGAACTGTGAGCCGATCGGAGAGCTCCGCTTCGAAGGCCGGTTTGTAACAATTGCTAACATTGCACCGTGGCTATCCACTGTCGGTGGCTATTTTGCGGTTGTTTGCCAGGCGTAAGAAGAATTTGGCTCGTAAAATCGTGTTTCATGTCCACAGGCGTTGACCAGTGAGAGCGGCAGTCTTGAATCTATTCCCTCCAGCTGTCACATCTGAAACGAGTTGTCGCGCGCATGCATGTACAATTGTGATGAAGCCACAATTCACCTGAATGACTTCTACCTGTTCATCAATCAATTATGAGCAGAACGCTTTCGATAAGCTGATGGTTTGAGTGAATCTCCAGGGTTAGTTTTCAATAGTATAATATGCAGGTTTTATCTGTGATGTTTTGAAAGAATATTTTATTCCGGAAATTTAAGATAATGAGAGCAGAAAATGAATGAAGATGAAGCGTTATACTTAGCAAATCAGACAAAGAAGGAGCGCATTAGACAAAATAAGCTGCATAGATAGTTGGACCGTTATCTGGGATTGCGGTTTAATCCCGCTACGTCCATGCTACTCCACTTACAAAGACCCCAGTAATTCGCCGTTTCATTTGAGTGTGAGTCGTCTTCATGCATCAGTGTATTTTTCTCTTTCACCGATCGCCAATCAACCTTCTACAAAGAGCCTTCTGTCCGTCGTCAGCTCACGTCCAACTGCCTCGAGCATCCCTTCATGAGAGATATCCTACTGCACAGGCCAAACGTCTTTCTCACCGGATGATTCTCCCTAATAACATATGGCTGACTAAGAGCCATCTTTGGAAACGTACTTTTTCCAAATTAGATGAGAGTCGAAGACTGCTATTAAGACTATACAGTGCATAACGGCATGTCATAGCATCATCAGACAGCGAAATATATCGATATGATCATCACTGACCACAGCCAAGCTCATAAGTACAAGTTAGGTACGAATATGTAAGGTGGGTAGGAAGCGGGTCTGTGTTGGAGAAGATAAAATCAAAGTAAAACACTACAACAGACACTGAAAACACACCTGTTTAGGTTTTAAGATCGGAAATTAAGAACAACATAGCACTATATATATATATATATATATATATATATATATATAGTGCTATGTTGTTCTTAATTTCCNAGATTGCGGATTTGTTCTACAACGAGTCAAGATAACTAGCTACTCTATTATTGTTACCAATATTATTTGTCTAACTGCACTCCTGAAATAGGCAAGGTACCACAATCATTTCTAACGCAACAAAAACTTGGTGGATGTAAGAAAATGTGATAAAACAATGCGAGAGGATTGCTAAGCTTTACAACGTCCTCAATTACTGTGTTTGCATGTCGACTGAGGGTGGGGGTTATGACAATTGAAAACAGAAAACGATTGATCTCCCGCGTGACAAAATTTACAAGCATGCCATACAAATCCAAAAGCAACCCAAGCATTCGCGGTTGATTACGAAGTGGTAAATTTGGATCCACTGCTGACCAAGTCGCGGTTGGAATCCGGCTAGATGCTCACGAATATTTCTCTCTCTTAAGGGTGTCAGACAAAGAAGGACCACAGAACCCATGTTCTTTATGACCGGAACTAAACGATAGTTTGCGTAATCGTTACGTGAGCCCCTCTTGAAGGTCGGAACGAGAAAGGATGAAGGTACACGATCTTCCAACCAAATGATGTGCAGTAAACTGGCAACACACTCGAAGAGAGAGTCATTGCTCATCTTAAAAATAAGGAGAAGCCGGTTAAGCTAGGCTGCCTTCCTTTAGTTTAGCGATTGAATACCACCTTGAACTTTTAGTCTTGTATTATCGCCCACGAAGTTTCGACTGCAATCACCGGAATAACTGCGCTGGTACTAGGGTAGTCGAACTGTTCGGTGAGATACTCTGCCCAACGATCAAGCCGTTGCTCGCTTATGTGAAAGCTCTAATCATTTTAACTTCAAATAGTTTCACTAACCGGTACCACCGATGCTCTGTATCAAGTGAGTCTTTGGCTTTTACCTGATGCAGAAGCTCCTTTCACTTCACTAGCTATTTGGGCCCAGCAGTTTTTGCTACTTTTCTTAAAGCTCTTGCGGAGCTGACGTTGCACATACCACCTATTCCTTGATTATTTCACCTCCTTGTATTGAATATATAACGATACAACTTTCACGAAGGGAGAGGCGACCAATCAAAGTTCTGATCCTGGAAGACTGGGATCTTTCGCTTATCTTCCATTAGGATTACTGAAACCTGAGATAAACAAGGTCATCGAAGAGCTTTGACCTCAGTCCTGGAAGAGACTTTTGCTGCCGGATGCTTGCACATCTAATTTAATTTCATTATTGATCTAGTTCACTACACTGTATTGTTCTTAGCTCCTGTGTATCCTTATAACGGGAGCGAACACCTGGGGTAATCAGACGATGAAAAAATTAAAGCCGCTATTTTTGTCGATAATCGTGAAGCGTATCACAACTAGGGCGCGATCAGACTCAAGGCAGTTGGCTTGATAGGATGAGCAATTTAGTACTGAGTCATGTCAATCGTAGTTCACGGCTAAATGATCAATTTTGGTGAACTTGCTTAGTTTAAGCGAATCCAACTAATTGCATTGTGTCAGGAACCAAACAAAGCGATTGCTTATTCTACTGCCGTACGTCACCGATTGGATACGGTCTATCAAAATCCCATAGTCGGAGTCAACCGATTTCTCCATAGACAAAGAAAAATACATTTTGAGAGTTGTTGAGTGAAGATGAAAGTTTCGCTGGGGTGGATTTCGACTGTTCGTCCCCCATCCCGCCCCACCCGAGTGCGTTGTCTTGACCGTTGGTCATGTGAACTTTAGACGAGAATAATCAAACCCGGTGGGAATTTGCCTCGGTCGGCCGAGTAGGGAAGCGAATCACGTCAAAATGGATCAGCAAATCGGTCACCATGTTAGGACGTGAAGGCTGGAATAAATCACTGTGAGTGAGTTTACTCTAGGCCCTCAGTAGCCGAGTGAGTAAATTATATTGAGATACAAGATCACATACCCTCAGTCTCTACGCACTTGCACTCATCATCGTCACCAACATTCGCGGACTGAACCACAATATTGATCCTGTACACCATTTTCTCCATTCTTCTCCGCTCGTCCTTTTTTGACCAAACTAAATCTTCCAGCTTCAAGTCCCCAACTACACTTTCCATTCCTTCTTTATACCCAAAGCTGATATCTGCGCCTTTATTCACCAATCAGTCTACGCTTCCAGGATCCCAAATCTTGACTTTTCCAATCGCGAATTTCAGCTGGTGTGGTTGAAACTACAAATTCCTTCTTTAATCATTACTTTTGTATTGTATATCGTTTCCCCAATAGTAGCGACTTCCATCTTTGATTTTCTATCTTCGAACATTAAACACTTGCTTGCAACCGACCCCAGCTTGGGAGATCTTAACTTTCATAATCAGGATTGGTTGACACATTCATCTGCTACTTCTTCTTTGGGGCGCGAAGCCGAACATTCCGCTTTGGTCAACAACCTGAACCAACTAGTTGACCTCCCCACACATATCCCTGATCGACCTGGCGATCGTGGCCACAAACTCAATATAATTCTCACTTCAGTCTCTTCTTTCTTCTCAGATATTTGTATTCTCTCTCCTCTTGGTTCATCGGATCGCTGCATTGTTGCTTGTTTTATTAGGTCTACCAACCCCGATCCGCCACTCACCTCGAGACACGCATTCTGGCGCTACAACTCAGCCAACTGAGACGGTTTCCGTGATTTCCTAGCTTTTTACCTCTGGGACGACTGTTATTTTTCTTTGGACGTTTCCAAATCTGTTTCTAACTTCACCGACGTTATTCTTCAAGGTATGCAGCTTTTTATTCCGCACTTTTTCAAACCCGGCAAACCCAAACCCCCCGTGTAGTTTAACCGTGCTGTACGCCCCAAACGTCCAGCCTTCCGCGGTTGGGGCTGTTTGCCCACTCCTGACTCGTGGAAGCTAGGAACAGATGCTCAAAGACCATTCAGAGAACCAAAGAACGCGTCATTCACCACAAAGCCGACTATTTTGATTGCTTTCCAAAGCAGTTTGCCGCAATTTATACTCTTCCAACTTCCCCCTACCTGTAATTCCTCTGGGGATCTTTTATGTCAATCACACGAGAAAGCTGAGGATTTTGCTTCCCGGTTTGCCGCCAACTCCACCTTACCCAATTATCCTACACCTACAGCTTCTTCCTTCTTCACTGGTAATCCATTTTTCAACTCACATTAGCACTAGGAAAATCCGTCAAACGTTGCGCTCTCTAAACGCAAACAAACCACTCGGCCCGGACGGTATTCTGCCCATCGTCCTCAAAATGTGCTCCCGAGTTGGGTCCTATCTTACATCGTCTTGTGAATCTTTCCCTTCAACCTTTTTTTCCAACCCCTTAGAAGCACGCCGTGATTTTTCCCATTCCCAAACGCAGTGACCTTTTTGGCCCCAACTATTACCGACCCATTTCCTTCACATCCGTTCTTTCGAAAGTATTCGAAAGTATCATCTCTGACCAACTACGCACGTTCCTCGAACGTGAAGGACTACTAGGCGACAGCCAGTATGTCTTCCGACAGCGTCGTTCCACCGGTGTCTCTTGGTCTGCTGTACTCGATAACTATGGAGAAACACACTTGGTCTCAAAGACCTTCGACCGAGTTTGGCACGAAGGTCTACTGGCGAAACCATCGATGTTCGGGTTCCCTCCGGTGCTCGTAGTGTGGATATCAAGTTTCTTCAGTAAGTGAATCATCTCCGTCCGAGTTGATGGGGTTCAATCTCAGCCATTCCCTGTGAATGCTGGTGTTCTCCAAGGTTCAGTACTTGCGCCCACCCTCTTCTATTTATCAATGATCTCGTTTCCAAAACTGTCAACCCGATCCATTCCTTTGCCGATGATACCACCCTTCATTGCTCCCTCTCTTACCGCACTACTCGCCATGCTCAAACTAACATCGATCCTGACCGTAGTGCAGTTAATGTGTCACGACTCCCATCTTGAACACATCGCCTCCTGGGGCATTGCAAACCACGTTTCAGTTAATAATTATAAAACCTCCTTTCTTTCAATTCCTTTAAAATACCATTTATCCCTAATAACTTATTCTGCTTGCTTCTCGTGCTGCCCGCAACGTTCGTTTTTTATTTCGCACTAGACGTTTTTTCACCCCAGGCGCATCTTCTTCTACTGTACAAAGCTAGAATCCACCCTGCTCTTGAATACTGTAGTCACGTGTGGAGTGGGACTTCGTCTTATTCTCTTTCCATTCTTGATCATGTTCAACAAAAGGCCATCCGGTTAATCGATGATTCTTCCATAACATTCAGTCTGCAGTCACTAGCCCATGGTCGGGCAGTTGCTTCATTGTCCCTGCCCTATCGTTACTACTTTGGTTTTTGTTCTTCGAAACTTGTTTCTGCAGTTCCTCTTCCTGCAACCTTTAACCGTCCATCCCGCACAGAGGCATCTAATCATCCTTATCGGATTTCAGTTCCTAGATGTCGTACTTCTCTGATTCAATCTTTTTCTCCCGAACTGCCAGGTTGTGGAACACCCGCCCACTTTTTTGCTTTTCCTCCAACCTCCAACCTTACACTCTCTAAACGTAGAATTAATAAATTGGATCTTACTTGAATGTTCCCCTACTCTCCCTTTTGCAATGTCATTTGTCTATAGGGATTCCTCCTTTTTACTGTAATTCACATCGTATTAAAAAAAAGGTGACAGGTTGTTGCCATTGGTATTTTGGATAGAACACAATGATCAATCCGGGAGAAAAAAATTTATTTATGTTAGCTAGTGAATGAGATCAAATGTAACTTTGCTATTCAGCTGAAAGGGGGATGTATGGGGTACCCGGTAGGAGTAGCACCTCTGACTCGGAGGGCTGTCGGCCCATTTGGGATATCCCCATTCTTTGGTCTCCACCGGGTGCTCAGCTCTCGTCTGTGGCTCCCAGAAGCTGTTAGGATGCAACAGCGGCCACACCCCGGGAAACCGCTTGACAAGCGGGTCAAACCAGGTTGAGGGTAACCGGGAGCTCAACTCCCGGCTAGTCTGTGTCTAACGTACGTGTTGGGCGGACGAAGTCGGTTTTACGACTCAACGGCCGAGGCAATGACCCTGTACTAATCAGGGGTGCATGGATTCCTGTTCAGCTGGCAACTGTCAATGGCGTATGTTTCAGTTTCAGTTTTTTATAACCATTAACCATGCACTTTCATGCGCCGGTTTTGGTTGCCCATTTGGATAAAAGAGCGA